AAATCGTTACTCTAATAAGACTTTACTATGATAAGATGATCTACGAATCAGCCAATCATAATAAAGCCCGCTATGCTGCGCTGCAGTGTAAGTTAATATGGTTAAACGATTAAACTGAGTCATCTTTATGACTTTTTTGTGACGTTGTAGAGAAATGAGTTTTCCAAACAAAATAGCATGATTTTAGCTGGTTCAAAATTTTCTTAAAATTATTTAGTATCTGTGGTCTGTTAAGATGCTGGTCACAAGCAATAATTTGTTTGTACATGAGCAGACCGAAAGAAGCAAACATAATGTAACGATCCTCTTCGAAGTACTATGTGGTGGCGATCCTAATTCCCATATGTTTTTTCCTTCGTAATAAAGATTCGATCGAGCAATAATAATGTTAGATGTCCGATATAAATATATCAGATAACTCGTTGGATATCCAATATAAATATATCAGATAATCTGTTGGATATCCGATATACAGTAAATATATCGGATAATCTATTGGATATCTGATATGATATCCGATATCAATATATCGGATAATCTATTGAATATCCGATATAACTATATCAGATAATCTATTGGATATCTGATATAAATATATCGGATAATCTAATGGATATTTAAATATATCAGATCATTCGGTTAAATCTGTTTGGATATCCGATCTAATAAGATAGATATCCGGATATAATAATGCAGATAAATAGATGGTAGATTAATCCAGATTGAAACTAACCACGTATATAGTTAACATAAAATAAAATTAATACTAATGTATAAAATTATTTTCATTAATTTTTTTAATAAAAGATTTTTTAAATTAGTTGCTTTTTGAACCTTCTACGAATTTTATAAAATGTATTTTGATAGTACAAAATATGAGTGCTGCCAAGGGAAAAGGGTACCTCCGTTTTTTAATCAATTATTGAATCAATAATTGATTAAAAAACGGAGGTACCCTTTTCCCTTGGCAGCATTCATATGAAATCATATCTATTAACAAAAAATATTATTTAAATAACTAATTCTACGAATAATACTTTATTAAATTAAAAAAATTATTTTTTTAGATATAGTATAGTTAATTATTTTTTTAGATATAGTATAGTTAATTATAAGACCAAAATAATATATTAAGTGGTTACTATAATTAATTGCTACTATATAGCTATATAAATTTTATAATCTTAATTTGTGATCTATTTCTTAAATTAAAATTTAATATTTTTATAATATTATATAAGTAATTTAAATAAATTATTATATAGCAAAAAAGTTATAGTATTAAATAAAGTATTAATTTATTATATAAAATTGCTATTTTAATATTTAATACAAGATATATTTTAATATACCCAATAGCAAATAAGTACAAATTATAATTAAAATTAAAAAATATTTTTATTAATTATATTATGAAGATTTCTTCAGTAAAATTTTGATATTAAGAGAATATACCAGTGCACTAATTGTATCAAAAATAAAATCTATTAAATTATCATAATATATAAATATTTAAAAATTTATAACTTTAATTTACTATCTGATTTTAATAATTTGATTGCCAAATAACCCTCTCAATAAAAATTTAATGAATTCAAAATCATCAAATCTAATTACATAACCACTAGATTATATAATATAATTTATATAATATAAATCTTTATTAATTTTATAATATGTGATAAGGTTTTAATTATATTATATTTATTAAAATTCTTTATTAAGATGATCATTTTGGCATTTAAATCATTCAAATTAGATCAGTAGATAGAAAGTTAAAAATTTTTAAAGATTCTATATTAATTTTAATAATTAATTTTAAAAAATTTAAATAAAATATAATTTATTAACTTTATTAAATATTATAATATATATAATCCTAAGTTCTTGTTTTAAATTGTAATAGTTAAATAAAACATTAATGGTTCAGATTTTGAAAAAATGCTATAAAAGGTTCTGCTTATACAAAGATATCGCTTTATGAATTTCTTAAATTTTTTTTGTTATAAAATAAGGTTTTATAATATGGTATTAAAAAAAAAAATAGTTATATAAAGGGCTAGCCGCACAATTCTAAAAGCAGTTTATTAATCTTTAAGAAATAGAAAATTCTAATTATAATTATAAATTTAAATAATATAACAATATATTAAGCAATTTAATAAGTATCGAAATATTTAATTTGTAAAAGAAAACTAAAAAATTAAAGTTCTAAAATACCCAGTCAAAACGTTTATCGTTTATTATTCCAATTCTATATTTATCTAATTATGATATTAAATTATTAATTAATTAGTGAAATTGGTTAATTTTATATCTATTGCATTACTAATTATTAAAATACTACTTATAATAAAGTTTTAGTAAGAAAAAATAAATTAAAATTTTCTGAATAAATTGATATCAAGAGGATTATGCCATTTGATAGAAAATCATTTAACAGATAAGTTTCTATTCCATACCTAAACCTCTAAATATGATTGGTAATTCCTTTCTTAATAATTTGATTTTCAAAATTCTAGAACCTATTTCTCTTAAGCTTATAAAAAAATGGCATAATTGATATGAAACATACTTGCCTCAAAGGATTACATGCAGTATAGGTGACACCCATTCTAGTTAATTAATAATATAGTTTATTAATGGTGGTGTCACCTATACTGCACAAGATCCCACAAATATATATATATAATTAAAAGTTCAATTGCATTTTATTTAAAATTTCAAGTACTGTTCTTATGTCTGGGCGCTTTGCGGGATCATTATCCCAACATTGTTGATAAAGCTTAATATATTGAGTAGGCGTGCCCTCTATGGGTTTTTCTCTTTGTCCTTGAGCTATACAGATGCCAACAGCTTCCTTAGACCTAAATGACCTAAATGGTTTTATGCCACTAGAGATCTCCCAAAGAACTACGCCAAAGCTATAGATGTCCGATCTTGAATCACGTTTATATTCGCTATTGGTAAAGCACTGCGGGTCGACAAATTCTGGCATTTTATCAGCTCGTGAGTCTGATACAGATGTTTCAGTGACTGTCCATTTTCCCGAAACAATATCTGTAATTACTGCAATTTCTTCATGGATTAAGATATTTTTAGAATGCTATAAAAGAAATATATAACCTATTATAAAACAGTTTAGTGTGAAATATTCGAAGAACTTATAATTAAAAAATGTATTTACAAGATATTTATGACATATGTTATTTTCATGTAGAAATTTAAGACCCTCTGCTATGCCTTTTGCTTTTTGTAATTTATCTTTCCATTGAAGTTTTTTGAAATTACGTTGTAAATAATCGCGTAAATTTCCGTTGCTTGCAAATTGTTGAACAATCGAATAAAATTTAGTATTAACATCTATTTAGGTGTAAATCATTAGTAAGATTAAAATTTATATAGAAAATGCAAAATGAAAAATGCATACCTCTGGTTATTCCATATAAATTATTTAGATTTTGATGATTAAGACTTAGTCTTTGTAAATGTTTGAACTTGCATATAATATAATGTATAGAAAAAGTTAAAAAGACTTAAGTATTAGGCCACAAAAGGGTAATTTTTCGTTTTGCATTTACCCGCCGACACAACTTTTTCAAAAACTCAAAAAAATTTTTTTTACAATAACAATCTGTTTTAAAACAAGGATAATAAGATCGGTTTTAATAATTTTAATAAATATATTCGAAAAAATAATACTTAATTAAAATATATAAAGGTAATATAAAGACATATAAGACTTACTTAAGAAGTCATATTTCGGGAGAGTAGGCAATCAAAGAACGCAAAATACGAGAATGGTTACCAGGATTTTTTGGAAGTGTGGTAATTTACCTAGTAAGCTACCAACAGGTTTAGCTTAACTTAGTTGTTTGAGAAAAATGAAAAATTGAAAAAATTGCTAGAGACCGAATCGATAAATTTCAGATTTCGCCCAACATTTGATTCCAATCCGTAACTTATCAATTCGGTTATGAAAAACTTTTGAGTTGACCATGAATTTACTAAAACAACTGCAATAAAAAAATCCGCTCAACCGGAACTTCGAAATACAAAACGAAAATTAGCCCTATAACTGGATAAACATTAATAATACCTCATTTAATATTTCTTTAATTACTTTCTCGTCTAAATTTGAATCAACATCAAATCTTTTAAGGACAACTATTAAATTATTTTTTTGCCACTTATATTTGTACACAAAATTATCTTCGGCAGAATCCATAAGTTCAGTAAATTGACGGCCATCTATATAAATATTTAAGTCTAAAATTGTTTTTTCGAACGGTTCAATCTGAAAATTTTCTATAATTTTATTAAAGTCAACTGGTTCTGAAATCATATAATCTAATTCATCATGGACTTCTTTTATTTCTGGACGTTTATTTGGATCTTCATTCCAACATCTCATATAAAGATCAACATATTTTGATGGTGTATTTTCTTCAGGTTTTTCTCTATGCCCCAAATAAATCTGAATTGCAATAGCCTCCGACGACGTAAAGGATTGAAAAGGTGGTCTTCCGCTCGTAATTTCCCATAAAATTACACCCAAACTATATATATCAGATTTTTTATCATATGGATAACGATGGTTCTTGAAAA